CGAGTTTCATGGAGAAGATTGTCAGTGAATTATAAGGTCATCGAAGAGGATGACCAAAATTTATAAAAATTTGTTCATTCGTCTATTTTTATTTAAATCAAATCATCATTTTGGATTGCTTGAGCTGAATAAGCGTATGTGCTGCTAAATTTTTATTCTAGACCACTGTGAAACGTGGCAGGAAATCGAAAAATTAACATTCAAAAATTGGTCTTATTTTGGGTCTAGGTCAATAGCTGAATGTACAGGGTGTTCAAAATAAGGATCTAATAGAAGGATTTCATTCGCCTAGTACTACTCCACCTAAACAGTCTTTAAACTGTTTTTTTAATACCCTGTGAACCTTAACTGATTTATGCGTAATTATTTTATTTTTAACCCTTCGACACCTATAGTTTCACTTCAAATTTAGTTGTGTTTTTGGTAAATTTTAAAGTTTGCTATTCTATTGAATTTGAACATATTAACCAAGTTAATACCTTAGAATCGAAGACTTAGACACTAAGGCTGAGAGAGTAAGTAACAAAACAGATATCAATTTTTTTTTATATTCAGACTGTAGGTAACACTAAAATAAAATAGAATTTGTGCACGTCTTTCAATTTTTAGTTTATCACCCATCTCTTCTCAATGGAAATTCTTTGCTAATTATGTGAAGCAGATATCAGACTTCAACAACAGAGAAAATAAATTTGTCACTTTTTGACAATCGTTGCGACGATTGCAATGGTGAACTCGGTAAACGCTGCATCGTTTATCCTTCGAGTTACACGGGAAACTGCATTCCAACGACCGACAATTCCCGTAACATTTACACTTTCCTCGCGATAGAAACTGTCCCCTCGGTTAATTTACATTGTTACACAACGTAGTATGCAAATAAATGTTTGTTCACGAAAATTTTCCTGTACCTACTGTGTTTCATTAGTCGAATTATGGGTATTGTCATCCAAAAAAATTTGATGATTCTTAGCACATTAATCTGCTAAATCGGTGATTCTTTGAATACAAACATATCCGTAAGAACATATACATACACCGGCCATAAGTATGGAACCAGAGATCATGGTTGACGGCACAATAACTCATTATTAGACTGCAGATTTTCACGCAACACAAAATTTTATAAAATAACTCTTGAAGACAAGAACAAAAATAGGAATTTCTGTCTTTTCTTTAGTATGTTTTCGAGTTAAGAATAAAATAGAAAAGTCGTTGCATTCGATGAAAGTTTTGTCTTTCATTGTATTTCACAGAGCTCTAGAGTCTATAAATGCATAAAATTCGCAGTCTACACATTATGATATAATAAAAGTTACGGAATCAATATATACACAAATTATTTCTAATCAGTTTTAGCACATTACTCTTATCAAATTTTTGTAGAATAACATTTTTCTTTGTGTTCAATTATCACACCTGGTCCCACACTTTTGGCCGGTACTTATATCCAACATATTGGAACGTATTAGATGTGTACCTACTCCAAACTTTAACCTAACTCAAAAACTTTTGACGATCCAACCCCATATGGGAAGGTGATCTGGAAAGATGAATAAGCCTACTTACGCGTCCTAAAAGTTTTTTAACCTAACTCAAAAACTTCTGAGTATCAATCCCTATATAGGAAACTGATTTGTGAAGAAGAAGCCAACGTATATGTCGTAAAAGTTTTATTAAAATCAGCGACCCGAAATTCCGGCTCTCTCCATGTTAGTGTTAAACGTAGCAGAAATACAGTGAAATTTCGTTCAGTCGAGATTGTAAAGCAAACGTTGAAGAAAGCCCAACCTAAAAAGCAGAATACTCAAGCAGAATAATTACACAATGGCGAGCGAGGGAGCTTTTTCAGGAGGAATCGACGTTCGCCAGGGTACGGCGTTGAAGTTTTTGGAAAATTTTCGCGTCGGAGAGAAGGGTGGCAAAGGGTTGCGTGTGCTTTTTGCCGAATCCGACAACAGCCTCGCCAGACGAGATGCTGGTCTCACCAAGCGAAACCCTCGAATCGTGGCAAGAAGTGTCCAATTTAAAATGTAAATTGCGCCGGATATTTGGCATATCGCAGTGCGCGCTGCGAAATGGCCGCGAAATTAAAATGTAATTTAATTCGAGCTCCCCTTCCTCACCCTGTTCCCCACCCCGTCTCTCTCCTTCACTTCTCCTTCCACTCTCTTTTTTTCTCTATTCCACTTGCCACTCTCTCTTTCTATTTCTTTCTGTTCCTCGTACACTATCGTCCATAATTTTTAGACACTTACACCCTGTCAAAAGAATGTAAAATTTTCTACAAAATATGACACATATACGGTGTACACAAGAATACGTGAATATAATTTCAGGAATTACTTGGGTATATAGAAATAATAAAAAGAAAATCGTGTACACTCCAAACCATACATGTGTGGACACTTTACACCCTGTCGAAAAAATGTCGAATTTTCTACAAAATATGACACATACGATGTACACAAGAATACGTGAATATAATTTCAGGAATTACTTGGGTATATAGAAATAATAAGAAAATCGTGTACATTCCCGTCCATAAGTTTTTGGACACTTATACCCTGTCGAGAAAATGTGAAATTTTCTACAAAATATGACACATATGGTGCATAAGAATACTTGAACATAATTTCAGAAGTTAGTTATGCGTATAACAATAGGAAAATTCCTGGACACTCTCGTTCATAAGTTTTTGAACCCTTATGGTCTTTCATGAAAAATAAGATACAGGATATATCAAAACACACGAACATCATCTTCTATGGGGTTAATCAATGTTATGAAAACTTCTCTTCTTACACGAGTAAATGCCCAAGTACATTATGGACATATTCCATTGCAAAACTCGGAACAAAAACCGTTCACCCGTCGTACGAGCACCTTTATTGATTCCCCTCGCTCTTTCGAACGGTATTTCGTCTCTTCTTCATAAGCGGATTTCAGAAAGCGAATTATCTTTCCCACGACGTGAAACGAACTTATCCAGTCGAACGCGAAACACTATGATTCTTGACCGCTCTATCCGTCACGCGAACCGTTAAGGCTCTCTAGCCGAAGGGAGCGAATCGTTTTCCCTCTAAACTGTCGTTAACGTTCCGTGTCCAGCTACGGGTATACAGGTAGCGTTTGTTCTTTCATTCTCTAGAGTCTACTAATGCCTACTGCAGAATTGAAGCGGATCGAACGTGGTACCATTGGTCATTTTTTGTGCCATTTCAACTCTTCCGACTGCCACGTAAAATATTTAAACGTGTAAGTACCTAGGATAGCTCGTAGAAAAGAAAAGAACAAATTGGGTGATTGTGTTATAGACGAATAAGAATACGAAATATCGAATGTGACGTAGGAAGACGAGTAAATGCATCACAAATTTATTTCATCATAAAGTCAAAGATTGTTCTATGTGACGAGTTTTTAAAAACTATTTTACTCACTTAATAAGCAAACGTGGGTATCACCTAATTCATCTATGACAATCCTAAACTCTTGCTGTTGTTAGATTAATCAATGATATCAAGATGACTCTCAATTCACTACTACTAATTAAGACTCTTGATCTCGGACTGATCCAAATTGATTCTCATCGCGAATCGATTCAGATTTCGAATTAATTCACTCTCGTGGCCCGACTTTAACGTTTCAATCCTCTGAGCTCTAACCATTTATTATATCCAGACTGCAGATTTGTAGGAATTCAAATATCGGTATTTATCAACGAATTTACAGAGAGTGGAATCAAACAGAAACTTGATCCCTCTGTTAAGGGTTCCATCAGATTCGAAATTAAAACCGGGTCTAACTTCATTAACGATTTGATTACACTGAGAGTTTTAAACAGTCGTAGTACAGAACAAATGCATAAAATCCGTAATCTAGTTATACCCTTTGCTTCAGATTACATTTACTTCACACTGCTTCGTTCATACACGAATGTTCTATATACACTACCGGTCAAAAATATGGGACCAGAGTTCACGATTGATGGAACAGTACCTCATTCTTCTATGTATTACGATATAATAAAAGTGACGGAATCAGTACGTGTACAAATCATTTCCAATTAGTTTTAGCACATTGCTTTTATCAAATCTGTCTAGAATAATATTTCTTTCTTGTTCTTTTAAGTATCAGACCTGGTCCCATACTTTTGATCGGTAGTGCAAATATATGCAGGATGAACCACGAATCGTGATCAGTAGAGATTACTCTGTTATCAGCAGTCCGATCGAAAATGTTTTTATCATGGTTTCAATAGAGCTTTAACGTGATTATAAAAAATTTTTTGTCAACTCGTTTTTTTCATAATTTTTCAAGGTCACCTTCAATTTATTGCAAATACACCTATAATTTTTTTACACCTATCTGTTAGAGGATTTAAAGACGAATTCGGTAAGTATAATAACGTAATATGTGTTACTTTTTTTTTCATCTGGGTCGAGAAAAGATTAAAGAAATATTCGAACTGTAATATTACAAAGAGTATCGTATGCTTGAGCTCTTGCCTACTGTTTGTAAACATTTCGTTCTGTACATTGAACACATCTAATGATATCTACCGATCACGATTCATGGTTCACCCCGTATAAAATCCATAGCCTGTTCATCAGTTCACGTTTTCCTGGCACCCGCAACCTCTACTCACAACACCGGATATTTCGATGATCTCAATTATGAATTTAAACAAAATCTATTCACGTTTATGGTTCACTCGAGTGCCTGTAATTATTATTAAATTATTATTTAAGTATTATTAAACAGCGTTCACGGTGAAACGATAAATCAGCGGGAGAGGAACGGTGCACGCGAATCAGCGTTCCTACGGACACCATAAGCACTCGCGTGGGCATCGCCATAGCAACCCGTTTAATTGGAAAAGGATCCCCGTAATAAAATCGTCGAGTGTTTCTGTTCCTACGACGCGGGCGCGCGGCAAAATCAACCGTCGTCGCGTCGTTCACCGTAATTGTTCGCAGAAGGGCGCGACGAATTTCGAGCTAAGCCTCCACCCTCCTCCTCCTCCATCGTTTTCTTCTTTGACTGTAATAATTTTGGTACGGGAGCACGATGAATTCCGGGGCTGATCCTGCTTATAATCTCCTTCGCCCTCCTTCCTCCCTATGCCTAATTCAATTTTTATTCGACCGGAAGACACTTGTCAGACACACGGAGACACGCGCGGCCACCGTTTCTGTCGTTCTATTTTTATTCAGAAATTTATATATACATAACATGTTAGGCGACTCGAAGGTTACTACTAATAAACGAAAGAAATCAGAATTGAATTTGTCAGGTGTTTGCAGGTGATGCTTCGTTACACTTTCGCGAATATAAAATTTTATACAAAAGGTTTTAGATTGTATGGTTTATTTTTTAAAAGCCTCTATTTGTTTGACCAATGAAATTTAATAAGGAATGCTTAGGATTAATTAAAAGAGTCAATATACCGGGAGCAAAATTTAGTTACTTTGCTTATCGCAGCACGATTTGAAAAATTTAATTGTAAATTCGAAATTTCAGGGAATTTTCTTCGAAATCGTAGGTTAAGTCTACAATTTAATTGAAAGAGTCGAAAGTTCAATTGAGTTCGATTCTGCAGAAAAGATAGAAGCTAAAAACTCTATAAGTGATTTAATTCTACATTCAAAGGTTTAACGATATTACAACGTTTAGCTAAAGGTTAAAGAAATAACAGAAAGTCTGACCAAAACATCTTTAAAAATAATTATTTATTACGAAAAACCACAAATTCTTCTATGTTTATTGTAGCATACTACATTTAAAAAATTCAAACGAGCTAAGAAGTGAAGCAATTTCCCATAATTAAGTGATTTTGAGGCCATCATCGATGACTGTTTACCGCAAGCGGCACTAGAAATGAATCTACCGCCTTAATTCCGAAAAAAACAGAGGAAGTTTAAAACATTTTCACAATAATTCCTACAGCGCCTTACTTCCCATAAGAAATAAGAAAAACATTCTCAAATGAACAAAACCCTTCAACAAACTCAATCCTCAATGATGTAAAAATCACATCTAATCTATATCCAAATCCAGTAAGGTATATCCGTACCCTTCTTGTGTACCTTTGCAGAAACAAAAGATGTTTACCCCTTTGGCACCCCACCAAGATTATCTGTGTTGCGTAGGTTCGGAAATGTTCAAGTGTTGTTTTCCTAATAACGACCTTTCAAATTGACAAAATTGAAACTATTCGTTCATATAGTTTGCGTTGTAATAATCACAACGTGCATTTGGGCCCCACTGCCACTGATACTGTAACGACACAGAAAAAAGGCAAGTTCTGTTTATTACAACGCAAACCACATGAACGAATAAAATTTCAATTTTGTCAATTTGAAAGGTCGTTATTAGGAAAACAACAGTTGAACATTTCCGAACCTACACAGCACAGATAATCTTGATATCTTGGTTTTCAGTTGTTTACAATAAAATAGTCTCTTGGAGTGCAAAGGAATGAGAATAAATTAGAGAAAGATTTAACCACCGGAGCGTAAAGAAAATCGTCTGTCAGCCAGCACTCCTCGTCGTAAGTTAAGTCGGGAATTCCAGGGTGAAAGGAAAAATCGTGGAAAATGGGGGGGGTGGATGGGCAACGAAAGGATTCAAAGGGCACAAAGGCGAGCGGCAAGGACGGCACGAGGAAAAGGAGAAAAGTACGGAGGCAAGAATCACGGGGTGTATACTGCACACACGTATAACTACACATATAACCACGGCGTCGTACAAGCGGACCCTCGAGAGCATAATTCATTGCCGTAAACAGCCGGTACGCGTGCCGTGTCAAATTAACGGCGGGCCCGCAACAACAAGAACCGCCCCTTTTGAGTTACGAAGAATATTCCATTCGACGCCTAAACCCATTCCAGTCATGTTTCTACACCTTGCTCCTCGAAAATAACTTCCAAGTAAACGAACGTTCTGGTAACAGAATCGATCAATCAATATTTTATTTTATTTTTCTTTTTTAGAGGGTTCATCTTAGCATCAAAACTGCTCATATAGAGGTTATTAGCGACGGACACAGTAATTACACTTGGTTGTCGATTAATTTTCGATATTTCAGTGCTTTCTTTTTGGTGTTGTTTAAGTTTTCAAAGGTACATTTCAGTCGGAAATTGAATTTGTTTTTCGAGTATTCGTCGCAATTCAAACAAAAGGTGTTTTATAGTTGCGTATGACAGACCTCACACATAATGGGGGCTCCTGTTTAGAAAGAATATTTCTAATAATATATTAATGAATAGACGAAATAATGATGCAACAGACACCTGGAAAATAGTATCTGTTCACCACGTAAAACGATTTTTCCTTCGTTCAGTAAAAATGGTAACGAAGACAATTTTCAACGTGACTTCATTCCCGCCATCTTAAAGTCATTGAAATGAGATTGAGGTTACGGTTGTAAGTCGTTGAAAAAAGTGTGTGTCGTTTCGTATAGATTTTACTTTGATTGAAAATCTCAGTTCGAAAGTAAGCTATAATTATTGAAACTTTACAGTAGATAATAGTGGATAACAGCTATTCAATATGCTACAAACATATGATTTCAACATTACCATTTCCCTTTATCATTGATAGGAACAAAGACATTCTGGATGATTGTATTAATTGGTACACCCTGTATATTACAAATAAATAATATCATTTTGCAATTCACCGTTTATATAAGCTTTCAAAGATCACTACACATTATACATACATTAACTATCGTGTACGAGCCTGTCACGTTCCTCAACACTATGTAGATTTACCAAACCAATCAAAATGACGGATTTCAAATTTCTTGTTTCGCAATTACTCAAATTATAAATATACTTTCGTCGAAGTTTATGTTGGCTTTTAGCTGATTACACATTTTGTATTATATGTACTATATTATGTTGTACAATTATACCAATACGTACTTTCCTGGAAATGGCAAAATACTCCAATAACTTCTTGTAATGTCGTCGCACACAGAAGCACCGACTTCGTCGCGAAGAGTTAGCAATTCACTAATAAAACTGTGTCGCAACGTGTAATAAATCCGTGTCGTAAAGGTATTAAAAATGGCGTATATTCTTCAGAAAATGGGTTAATAAAAATCGTTTCGCGACATGAATTATTTACGAGCGAATAATTAATCAACATGGACATCGATTTGACATCGAATAATGCGAAAGAGTTCTTGAATACTTAAAATCCACCGATATTCGATAATTTAATCATTTTTCGTCCCCTATTCCAACTGCTCGGAACAAAATCAAAGAAAGCAATATCAGATCAGAATAGATGCTTTGCATGTCAAATGATTATTAAAATTGCGTTGATAATTTCAACCAGGAAGCCTCGACATGAAAATCCCATAGTTCCAACATTGTACCCCCATAAATTGCGTGCGCCGTCTGCCTCGCTCAAAACGCGAAATCCAAGCATATGTTACTTAAGCGCTTAAACGACGCCTGGCTCGTGTCGCCAGAACAAAAAGGGATATATGTAGTTCAGAAACATTGAAAGGGACTGAAAATACTTTATATTGCAGGGGGAGAGGGGGTACACATTCGCTGGATAGGGTACAGACGGCGCGTACAGTTCTGAAAGTAAAATTTACAGGCTTCGTTGAAGTGGCAAGTGACACCATTTTGTTTTCTGTTTTGCACGGATTCGTATGCTGATACATTCTGCTGGTTAAGCGTCGCTCACCACACGTATGACGTTTATGAATTTCACCCTTAGTAGACCTCGTAACTTTGGACATGTCCTTCGTATTTCATAGATACAGACAAAATGATTCTAAAGTGCTACCGTATCGTTGTGCACAAGAAAAGACTTTCTTCGTTTTGCTTTTAACGAACCGTAAACTGAAAGACATTCGAGGCGTTAATTTGTTAATGTGATTAGGATCACAAAACAAGAAGTAGAAAATAATTATTTAATGAAATTGAGCGTCAATTATGTGGTTTGACGCTAAAAATTGAAAACATTCAAACAGTGGAGATAGGAACTTGGGCTTTTGAATTTTATAACAGTCTCATTTTTTCTAAGCTTTGTAAACCTCGCGGAACCTAGGAAAACATACTATGTAAAATATTTTTCGAAATATTTCAGCTTGGGTACAGAAATACATGCCATTCGTATGTAGACAGAAAAGTGTCAAAGCAGAAATTATTTGTTCTAATCTCTCTCCTGTTTCAAAGAAACATTTATAAAATAAAGTTAAATCACTGAAAGTGTGATTTAATAAGTTTCATGTAAACAAGAAACATGATCGATATCTACAGTATTTATGGTAGATACTTATCTTACCAGCCATAAAAATCTCGCATTGAAACAATTCTAATCATTATCGGTCTAGACACCTATCGAAGTATTAATATTAAATAAGCATTACTATTTCACAGAGACAGTGGCACCTAGATCGGTTTTGACCCCTATGCAGCTTATCTGACCTGATATGAACAATTGCCACTTTGAATTATTAGTAGACTGCGGATGTTTCTGCATTTATAACATCCATAATTAGCGAAATGCACTAAAATAAAGATTTCCATATAGTTTAACGCTAGAACTACCTGCGTTCAATGTTATATATAATATATTAATACATATAATATATAATATAATATAATATAACAGAATATAGTATAGTATAAAATGTTTTCGATTTAAGTACTTGTAAAATAAGAAATTTGAAATCCGTCATTTTAACGGGATTGGTTGTTCATGTGTTATTATTACTATAGTAAAACTTCCATCACAGAATCCAAAGTGCTATCCAATTTTGATTTCAATATATATTAATATTTAAAACTGCGAACTTTACGAGCTAAATGGAGCATCTGAAAAGTCGAATCTCAATGGACCCAAGCGTTGTTATTTAAAGGTTAACCCTCGGAAAACCGATGTTTTTGATGATCGAATAGACGACAATACCTGGTTCTAGATAGACCCCCGCTCATCTGTGCTTAGATATGTTCTGTAACAAATATTCTTAAAAATATGCTCATCTTCTTATCAAATGCTAATACACGAAACTGTACTCTCCACTTATCTTCTCTAACCAATAATGGTGCGGGAGGTGCCTAAAATCTTGGGTCAAAATGAACCCAGACACCGTCAACACTGAGGGTTGTAAAGACATGTTTCACATTTAATTCTCGGAATAATTTTCACGACAAAACTAGTTCAGTTTGTTCGATCGAATACCATTTTACTAACATTGTCGCGTGGTAGGGTGACTGGGGAGGGTTAACCCAGGGAATTTGGGTCCATTTTAACCCCGAATTTCAAAGACTTCACCCACACATTTCCAATTGTACAGTTCTTTAAATCAGCATTTCATAACAAGGTCAGTTTGTTTTGAAGAAATTCCTTCTGAAGCAAATCTAAAGACGGATAAGTAGGGGTCTATCTGGAATTACTGACTCGACGAAATACAAGTAAATAATCGATACTTTCGTTTCGATACTAACAATAAGTATTTATAGTATCGAGTTAAAATTCTTAGTTAAAATCAGAAATGGGCAAATTCATTGTCTAGATAAAGAGTTTCGAATAACGAATAAAACATAAAAAAGTACTTCGTCATTTTTAAACGTGTAAACGTGAAAATTCTAATTCTTATGACGAAATAATAATTCTTCCTGAATAAGTCGACATTTGCCAAACAATTATTCAATCTCATTAACTGTTCAAAGCTCAGGGTGACGCGCTTAGGTACTGCAGCTTTTCACTATGTACACATTATTCGAATAAAATTCTGCTCAACTCTGGTTAAAACATACTATATTAATAAAAAAGAACTTCGTATTCATTTTCCTTCGATGCAAGTAGGTATCGATACTTTTGATACGATACTACATAATTGTAAGTAGACATCGATACCCTTTTTCGACACAAGTTATGAGTAAAAGTACCGATACCTTGACGGTATCGGTTTATCCCTACATGGAGACACTTCCTGGAGAGGTGGGTCTACATCATGCAACAATATGGTAAATAAACATCGTGGTGGGATGTCTGTCGTTCCTCATCTCGTTTCGGCGCTCCTGATACCTCCGTCTCCCGTTCCTGATTATCCGATTCTACTCTCTTCACGAGCCCAGCGCAACTCCTCTTATTCTCAAGTTCTTCCTCGGAGTTCTTGCCCCGCGGAAAACGCGACCCCAACGATTGGGGGCTGCTCTCCTTTCGTAGTTTCACCCCTTAATTCGAAGCGGCGAAGCGCGTTGCCTCGAGACCTCGTATATACATATATATGTATATCGAGAATATATGCTCGAATCAAAAAACGTCGGGGGCGAGCGCGCACCACCCTCGAAAATCGTTTCGAATCGATAAAGGACGCCCTTTTCGCGCGGCGACCGCGTTATCCGCCCCGCCACGGGGTGGGGGGTATCGCGATAAAAAAAATAGTGAAGCGTAATCCTAATTAATCGCGGAACCATTCCTGGGGATAATCCTTCCGAGCGAGACACGTTCAAAGGAACACAGTAAATCCTCGATAAGTGTTCGAAGACTCCTTGGCATTGACAAGGAGAAGTCCCTACGTGTAACGCTGACTTTTTAATAAGGTTTAGCACCGTGGGCTTGGAATTCTGAAGTCAATGATATTTATTTCAGTCGCATATGGCCATTTGTTTATGAAATATTTAATGTTCAGTATCGGGGAGCCTTCGAACACTCATGGAGAATTTACTGTATGCAGAGAGTATCGAATCCTCGGAGTATACGTACCGTTAGAGCTGACGCGCAGTGGTTTAAAATTACGAAAATTTGACGAAAACTTAGAAACAAATGCAAATGAAATTTCGTATTCGTTGTTGCACAAACAATTTGTTCACAATTCTCATCGATAAGTCGCTGATAACTCATAAGAATGTTAACCACCATTAGAATTATTATACTTGTTTATATAAAAGTCAAGAAAACTACGTGAAACGGTCGTTAAAAAAAGTTTAGGTACGACTGCAAACATTCATATAACATTCATATGCAAATTTTGCAATTCATAGAATTGGAAAAAATATGTTATTAATCCTTAGTTACGTTTGTTTCATTAACGCTAGGTCCACCAAATCCGTCAAAGTGATGGATTTCAAATTTCTTGTTTTACAATTATGTGCGGAAATCGTGAAGCTGCTTTTGTCGGAATTTGTTGACTTTTAGTTTATTATACATTTTGTACCATACTACATTATGTTGTATTATATATTGTTCATATCAATATATTATACAATTTAATTTAGTATACATTAAACGCTGGTAGTTCTAGCGTTAACGTGTAAACATAAGTCAAACAGTCACATTGTCATGACTAGAATACAGATGTTTATGGAAGAACCAGAATGAAAGAAACGTTTGTTTCATCCGTTAATCTTTTCGTTGGGTATAACTAGTATTTAATTTACTGCGATTTAATGTCTAAATATGTCAAAGTAGACAAACACATACAACAGTATCGACACAGCTCTAATCTTCAGTCACGTATGAATTTATAACGACAGATATGCTATTTTTTATCATACATCATGTTATTCAATGCCAAAGGATCAAAAGTATTCCATTAACCCTCCGTAACCAAACTATATGTTGCACTTCATAGGCAACCTAGGTCGTTCATATTCAAGCTCAATTGTTTCACTACGTTAGGCTTTCAAAAAATCTGAAAAAATCTTGGAATACTTATCAAAGTCTCTATTACATTATACACGACATATATGTTGTATAATTATGTATAAAAAATCATTCTTTTATAATTTCCTTTTTTTCTACTGATTCTTGAAAACAGATATAGTAATGTACTTCCTTCTCAAATCCTATTGAACATCTTTTTTCCCTAAAGATCAAGAATTACAAACACAGTGAGTAAATTCATTCAAGACAAAAAAATCATGTCCATGGTCCTGACTCTGCAATCACTGTCAGCGATTTTCCACACCATCTTTACTTATAAAGTTTCACAATTCGAGTTTCGAGAATGTAAAAATCAGGTTCCAAACCCATCCCTAAAAGTGAATCAAATCAGCAACGGCGGTGCTCTAAAAACACCACGCCTTTAATGTCACGCGAGTACGAGAGAGTCGCTACCCCCTAAGCGCAGGGAATCTGGGAAAGGCGGTACAGTAGCAAGAGGCCAAAACACACGCTAGCTCACCTTTGCATTCGTTGGCATCTCTGGCAGTGGCTCGTGCCCAGGGTCGGTCGAAGTGGAACGGTCGGCACATCTCGCAGTCCCTGCCGGCTGTGTTGTGCCTGCACTCGCAGGCGAGCTCGCCGTCCTTGCCGGGGATACACCTTGCCGCGTGGCCGTTGCACTTACACCTGCCGCCGACGGCGAAGTCGGAGACGGCGTAGTGATGTGCCAGAGTGCCTGTCCCGAGATTGCTCGCCAGGGTGCTGGTGGTCGGTGTGGAGACGGTCACCGCGGCTACGAAGCTCATGTCCTCGATGTCTACCGCGTCGTTCGATTCCATTTCCTGGGGGGCGATCACCTGATGAACCGAGGGCAACTGGGTAGCCAAAGTATCGACAATTTGTCCACCTCCACCCCTAAGCAGACTCGTCTTCTGATTCTTCATCCTCTCCTCCCGTTCTCTCTCGCGTTTCGCCAGCTCCTCGAGACCAAGCCCCAGCCCGTGATCCCGTTCGTCAACGGTCCCAAGCTGCGAGACTTGCTGTTGTTGCTCCTGGGGGGGCTGTTGGGGCATATGAAGCCGATTGAACACGACACGTACATCGGTGGCCGTAACCCAATCCTGTAGCACAGGCGAGTTATCGAAGTCCGAGGCGGACGGTCGACCCTCGAGGGTGCTGAACGCGATCCTGCCGACAGGTCCTAAACTATCGCCGCCTGTGTACCGATGGCTGTCGGTGCATCTCGCCTCTTGTTCGTTCGCCTTGGTGATCGTCGCACGATTCGGTCGACCGTAGACACGACGACATTGGGACGAATAGAACTGGAACGGTTGCCAGGTTTTCCCATAGTCCATTGACTTGTAGATCGCGATCGAGTCCGGTTTCGCCGCTTTCGGGCAGAATTGCAGACTCACGTAGGTCAGTTCGTACTTCTTCCCGAGGGAGAGGGTCAAGGTCACGTTGTCGGGGGGTGCGGAGAAACTCTGCGAGGTGACCAACGGCTCGCTACGCCAACAGGTCACGTTGCTCGGGTTGTTCAGGTCCGTCAGATAGCTGGCGGGGAAACGTCGCCGTGGCGTGCTGTCGTCGCAAATATGGCACGGACCTATGCCGGTGCTACCGCCTGGTTGTTCGATCACATCGCAGTATTTGGTGCGTCCACTGTTGCCGCAGGTCGACGAGGCCTCGACCGCCGCGCCGAAGGCAGCGTTCACAAAATCCGGGATACAACGTCTTGGCCTGTCCTCGTCGTAACAGGGATCGGACGGATGCTGCTGGCTGGAGAACATCTTGGCGTACATCTCGTTGCCCGCCAGGGTGCCCCGTAAACGGAGCAGGATCACGCCGAGAATGAATCCCAGCGTCCACGTTGGTCGGCTCTTCATCCTTCGACTTCTGTAGTTTCCAACACCGATCGGACGAGACTTATCTCTCTTCCTTTTTGTCCCTTTTTCTTTCCTCTCGTTCACCTCTCCCCCTGCCCCTCCCCCTGTTACCCTTGCCCTGTCACCTACGCGCAAATTGTCCTTCCTTCCTCCGTCCAACGATTTCCTCTTTCTCTCTTTATTCGTCCCACGAAAGATGCAGCCGGCAGAGACCGGAGGGTAGCAATCTCGCGGCGCAATCCTGTTTTCCCGATGTCTGGCGAGGTTACAAAGTTGATCGTCCCCCTTTTTTACACACCACTTCTGCTAGTCATCGTGACCGATACACACAACTAACCTCTAAGAATGGTAATGCCCGCCGCAGAGCTCCTCTCGAACTTACCACCGACTCGCATCATCGAACGGACACGGGTCCAGATCGCGACAACTCGAGTGTTCACTGTTCCACCGCGTTCCTTGTTCAGCGAAACGATGATATTCAACGTTGTCACACAACTCGTTCCTCTTCTCTCTTCCGATCGACAACCGGCTTCGATGTTATCTCATCGAGTCCTCGAAAAACACCGTGGATCTTCACGCGACACAAGACGGTGTCAGTTTCATTTCTAAACGTATGTATTCGAAGACGGCTTCCAATGTTGTATGGCGCGACGCGTGGTGCACACACAGACACACAGAGAGACGAAACACGTCGTTGCTCCTCGTGAAACAACGGAAAGACGGAACGCGACCAACGAAAGGGGGAAGACACACGTTAGATGAAACGGGAACGAGGAACCGGCAACAACGACACTTTCCCGAGGGCGGCTCGCCGCTAACTGAATCACCGTCTTTGCACGGTGTGCATCCGAACTGTTCCGAGTCCCTCTCTCTAGCCAACACACCGTAACTCCCCCCTCCACTCCCAGCTGGCGCGCTCGTCTCTCCCGCTCCAGTCTAGAGTCTCCCTCTCTCTTCGCTTTGACCGTCGGCTCGCACCCTCTTATCCGAAGAGACCAATTCCTCTCCGGCCAATCCGACAGCGCCACTATACTCGCCTCGTCCCCACCACCACCCGCGTTCCGCCACACTGGAGAAGATCCGTGGATCCAGCAGCAGCAGCAGCCGCCGCGCCACCGGAAGCCGACCGACCACTGGTCCACCCGGCACGATTCTTCTTCTCTTTTCATCGAGGGAAGATCGGCCCGAAGGAATCTTGAGAGTGGACTTATTCATTTTTCCTCGGTGCATTTTTCGTCGACCGGTCGCGATCGCTTTCAAAGGACCATCTTGTGTCAACTCTTCAGAGGACATATTGGCCCCGAGAGGGTGACCGAGAGGATTTTTGATGCCGAAAGATATACGACGCGATATACAGGCTGAAGGAAAAAAGGGTTTCGTAACTTCTAGGATAGATAGTACATACTCGCCAAATGATTGAAAAACTCTTAATAAACATGGGTCGAAAAATTAATATTTCCAAGATTATAAACAATTTTTAGTTTCGGGTAAAGCAAGTGACTTTCTTGGGCACGGGAGCTATTATACCGTATGGAAACAATGAAGAAAATTGTGAAAAAACTAATAGGAATTATAGAATATCTTCCGTAACCAGGAAAAAAAGAAACGATAAGATGATCCGTGGGTTCTATACAGTACGATAGCTCACGGACCGAGAAAATTCCTTGTTTTAACCGAAATAAAGAATTATTTATATCTTTGAAAATATTAATTTTTTAACCTATGTTTATTAGAACTTTTTCTCCTCATTTGGCAAGTACTATCTGTCCCAAAAGTTATGAACCCTTTTTTGTTTCAGCCTGTATTTTGGAGGGTTCTGGTCACGATGAATTGAATGGCAGTGGCAGACTGGGTCTAAAAATATTGGTTGCCAGGCGATAAGAGTGGTACCACCCACTTGCAACTATAATAGTGAAAATACGGAACTTCTATTTTATTTTCATACTACTAAAAGGTCATTACCATTTTCAAGATATTGTTTAATGTTTAAGCGGACTTATTTGCAGTCGGGTTACCTGACACCTTGGTCAGTCCGTCACTGTTGAATGGTACTATTTTTTATTCGGTAGTTTGCTCCTCAATAATGAATTTTAAAACGGTATTAAGAATTTGTATTGTGCCTATATTATTATTATTATTATATAAATAACACTACTTAAAGGGACTACGAACGCTTGAAAAAGTGTACGATTTAATTCATATCGTCCATGCTGCAATGGACATCGTGTTTTCCAACATTACTGGAGCAGAGCCATCAGCGTGCGTTACAAGAATCGCCATGCCACAACCTTTGTCGGCCTGCTCCGATCACAATTTTAGTGTCTGCGAATTAAACAAATGAATTTTTAAAAGGAAAGATTACGAAACATGGATATATTTCTTTGGAATTTTTTCAGCCTTAATATTTTTGTATTGCAGAAATAACTTTGTGTATAAAACATAAAATTATTTAGAAAGTACGATCCCTTACGATTTAAAACTTATCTTTACGATGTAACTTAGTCTACATTGTTCGAAAATATTTATGATACTTCAGAATATTTAAATATTATGGTCTGATAGTAACTGAAAGAAAATGTGACCTCGGAAATCCAGATCAGTCACAAAAACCGTGTTCGTACTATCGATAATCGTATCAAATACACATTCATTTTTTAAGTACTCACGTTTTCACATATAAATGCTATAAAATACAGTAGTTGTATTGTATTAAGATTTGAACTGCACACTGTAGACACAACTAAAAATCAAACATACCCAGAAGAGGCTCAAAGTAGACATGCCTCGAGTATTCGGGTTCTTTCATGTCAGGATGGATTATGACACCCACTGAAGCGGTAAGTAACAGATTCGACGGTATTTTTATGTCAGATTTTGTCGAATTGGTTATTAGAATGTTTACATATCCTATTTCTTATTTCAGCGTTCTATACCATTGAGATGTGATGACTTCAAGATACAAGTGACCCACCGGGTATAGTAACATAGATATTTAGTTTCACGTAGTACAACCATGTCGGTATTTTCTTCGTGTTTATTTAATTGTACTTTTTTGCTTCTTGCTTTTTAGGATGAATGCAGGGGATGGAGACTTGAAAGTTTACGTCACGGAGGTCAGCGTGCAACTACTGGAAAATTCTATATTAGTACTGGGTTATTAGAAAATTCATCTCCGTTTACAAAAACGCAGGGTTAGGTGTAAACAACGAATAATTATAAAACATGATACTAACGAAAATAATGTAATTAGAAATGCAAATGTTCTGCTGACATACATCTCCAAGTGTATTCTATAAATTTCAATACATTTTGCAGTAAATGTTACCCATTATTTGTATACCATACCAATCTGGGATATGTTTAGTTTATAATTTTTGAGGACACAAGTTCGCTGCAAGATAACGAAATATGAATCATATTACAGTGATTCCTCGATGAATACGACACGAACAACGGCATTATTCCCACCACTGGGGGGGGGGGGGTGGTCCCCCTCTGGAACCAATCAAAATAGAGTAAACAGAAGCTAAGCAGAGACTCGGCTTCGTGCCAAAACAAAATTATGAGGGACTAAAAAGTTTTTCGCCTTACCACAAATACTCCGAAGCGGAACCGAGTTTGTCGCACTCATCGAGACATTACTGTAATAGTTTTGCAGAAGTTTCGACGATTTTAAACTGTAAATACATATTACACTGTGAAAAAAGGCATAACATTTAACTTTTTAGCTACTATATACGCCACTATAGGGGCTCATTTGTTCATCTCGCGTTGAAAATCGTGCAGGTACATTATTTATTTTTAAACGTGGCTAAATAGTGGAAAGTATCAAAGTGTGAAACATTATAGCGGGAAGAATCAAACATCGTTTACGTGCATTCCGCGGCAAAGCTGTCCGTAGCACAAATATAACAAAATATAACAAACAATATAAACAAATGTTCCACCGTAGCTAAAATGTTGATATTCCTAAAGTATTCACGTTGATTTACCTTGGTGTATATTGCTAAAAAAATTTTGAAGTAGCGACGTTTGTTCCACCAACGTTAAACTGTACCCTGCAGGTTACATAAAGACCCCAAACGTTGTGATTAACTTAAGTCTAGTAAGTTTGACTATTCAGACATGGTAGATAAGCCTGAGAGTCTGACAATCTTCCGCTGAAAGAATCTGAAGCTTAGCCAGTTAGAAAAATCGATGAATACAACCTAATAATCTCTCATACTAATAGAAACAGAAATAACTCGAAAACCGAATCCTCGAACGAAATTTCATCTTAGTTTTGCGTGTAGCATGCACCCTATCAAACTGTCCCACATTTGTATTAACACCCTGTAGAATCATTTCTGCAAATAACCTACAAAAATCTGTAGTCGCGTAGACATCCACGATCTACTAACAAGCATCATCATCAGTTAGAAAGTAATCTAAGACGCTACTTATAACGAATAATAGTGATCATTCTCACCAAGGAAATAATGTAACCCTCAAAACACGTGTTTCCCATATCGCCAATTTGTCAACCACTGAAAGACACGTGCCCCAACGGGAGACAATGGTCATAACAAAACAGAAAATCGAATTACATTTTAGATAACCAGGAATTAAAACAGAAATCCGTAGAATTCAACGGATGGAGATCCTCAACTGTTCGAGAACGGTTCGAAAGGTTCCTTTTCCGGCGAATTCGACGAGAAGACAGGTCTCTGGGACGCGTGCATGGATTATGGGAGCGGGTTCCCCGGAGGGTCCATCGGCCGAATTGGCGGGCCCGGGGAAAAAAAGCAGAACGGGAATGCCGGGACGATACGACGCGTCGGAAAGCCATGGACCACGGGGGACAGACGAAGAGGGACAGAACACCGAGGCTTCTTGCGGGCCGTCACGCGATCCTCGACGGATCCTCGAAGAAAGCCTCTTGTTAGGCCCCACGATCCTCGTGAATTAAACGGTCTCTAACTTTTTAATAGAAGTCCGTGTCAGTTTTCGGTCGCGTGACC